TACAAAAAAAAGTCACCCAAGTCATACACTGCCTGAAAGTACTAAATAAACTCAATCAATATGACTTGGCCATTTTTAATTTGGTAGATCTGACTTTACCAAGAGATTTGGTCATATTAATTCAAATCATAAAAAATTTGACTTGGTCACTTTTGGCAGTAAGCCCACGATATGTCTATTTCACCCAATGAGCTGATGAGTTAAACTACCTACTGTACCAACACAATTCTTCTAATTAGTTATGCACTAAAAATTCCTTTATTCCATAGTTTTTGGGTTTTATTAAATTTACAATATCAAAAAAAGATAACTATAAAAAACATTGAGGTTCTTTATAAGTAAGGTAGTGGATGTGTGGATTAATAGAAAATAAATATGAATAAACTGACCAGACAATATTGGTTAAAATGAAAACAAAATCATATGTTAAAAATGATACAGCAATTGAGAAATCACAACTGACTCAGCCCATTGAAGATCAGATCCAACTCATTTCTTAAAAAAAACAAGTTTTGAGATTACAAAATAATGTGAATTATGAGAAAATATGATTAACAAGTAGGTAATAAGTTTGTCCAAATGCTACAAAAAACTTTCAGTATGTATATTCACTGAACGTTAAAACTTTTAAAAATTATCAAAAAAAATAAAAATATAACATGAATTAACACTTGTGCTTAACATTTCCTTAATTAATTAAAATTTCATTTATACAAAAGGTAAGCTACAATAATTTTATCACAGATAGATTGGGCAAGAATGTTGAGGATTGGCATCACTTTTCCTTCCACAGCTCACCCAAGAAGGTTAAATCACTATAATTATATACAAAAATGATAAGAGTTCATGCAAAAAATTATGTACAATATGCCATGCCATGGCACTCAGTTATTGTCAAAGTTCTGACATTACTTTCTTACGTCTAGTTAAGTAGCATGTATGATAATTTACCACAGCCTTGCCTCTACATGGAAAGTACAAAAGGCCATAAGAATCAAGACTGAAAATAACAAATACTATAAATATGAATTATTGTACAAATTGGAACATAAAAAACAGATCTTCAACTACCAGTATACCTTTGATATACTTTAAAATTTAATTCACACATTGTAAATTTCAATAGAAGATGACAAAAAACAATTTAATTATTTACCTAGAACAATAATTTATAAAAATTAACTCAATTTATTTGAAGATCTACCTACTTAACAATGTTCTGTTTTTATTTCAAAACGTCTAAAAATCACTGGGCATAGTACTTTTCTAAAACGTCATCATTTTAGTAGTATTATTCGAGCTATTTATTGCTAAGTATAATTTTATAAAATGTCAGTTTCAAATATACAGGGTGTTCCAATAGTGTATGGGAGTTCGATATATCCGTTATTATAGAAAATATCCAAAAAATGTTATTTACAAAAGTTGTAGCTAATATTAATCTGCACATTTAAAAAATTAGTTCTGAATATACAGAGTGATCCATAGCTTCAGAATTTATAAAATATATGTTTTTTAATGGATCACCCTGTATACGCTTATAAATTTGAATTCAGCCGACTGTTCCTCTTAAGTAAATACCAGCATGTACCGGGTTATATCCGGCATTTTAGAATTTTAAACCAATGTTTTATGAAAATTGTACTGGGTTTAACTCTAATTTTTTCTCAATGCAACAAATCTAGAGTCAAAACTCAAATACATGATTTTCTCAATTTTTAAATGGAACATTCTGTATTTCATATTACTACTGTGGGACATAACGGGGTATAGGGTAACGAGATTTCAAGGAAAAGGGCTCAAACACCCTTTGTGGGACCTGAGCCGTTCTGCGGTATCAGCAGTAACATAATATTAGGAGAGATTAAAAAAGAATTGAGCAGTAGAAGAACCGATAATTGGAACAATCTTTTGTGGCTGAGACAGGCTAAGATACTTCTGGGTGAATATAACCAAAAAAGATCGGAAGCCTGCATCTGCCTAAGCAAGAACAGGCTACGTATTGTAACAGGAATTCTTACTGGGTATTGCCGACTAAAAGGACACCTTAGTCAATTGAGAGTAGTAGAAGATAGTGAGTACAGATTCTGTGAGGAGGAGGACGAAACCTCCATTCACATTCTAACTGAATGTGTAGCACTCCAGAATCCAAGGGCACTATACCTAGGAGCGAATCAAATAGAAGAGAGATTTACTTAAAATGAAGCTACTCCAAATCCTACACTTCCTTGAGAAGAGAGGATTGGAAGGGTCCTTATAGCTATTTCCTTGCTGCAATAGCGACAGAAGGGGGCACAATGGATCTTTTAGGTCGCAGTGTATTACCACCCCATTCCCAACATAACATACTACTAATAAGTAGTCTAATTATACATTTGAATCGCTGATTGCAGAAAGGGTACAAGTCATGTTTTCGCATATTTTGAGATTTTTACGTGAATCGACAGTTCAACCCAAACCTCATCGTTGTGCGCAATACCATGTAAAATAATAATACATTTCAATAACGTTGAGTGCAGAAAAGGTCTAAGTCAATTGATTTGTACCCTTTATGCAGTCAGTCGGATCGCAAGGTGGCGCTGCTAGTGAAATATCGGTAGTTGTTATTTTAATTTTCTGTCAGTTAGATTATCTTGTCTAGCCATGGAGGTTGTAAATAATTTAAAACGTAAAAAAGGGGTAGTTAACTGCGATGGATATAAAAGGAATATTATTAAAAAGTGCCGGTAAGTTTTAGTCGTTATAATAAAACATAATCTATTGAATTTTTTAATTTTTTTAGTGTTAAAGGCCAAGAGTACGTAAATTATAAAGGTAATGTTCCTGCTAAATCTGTTGGAGACCCATGTAACTGCAGGTTCAAATGCTTGGAAAAGATTACTAATGAGCAGCAGCTAGAGGTATTTGAAAGGTTTTATAATTTAGCTACAAAGGACGAACAGGACTTGTATTTACAGGGACTTGTTCATGTTTCTAGTATCAAAACTCGCCGCCCACGAGTACAACAACTTAGGAAGAACCACAAACGTAACAGTAGTTTTAAATATTACGTACTGATTGCAACTGAAAGAAAAATTATTTGTAAAAAGGCATTCTTATCTGTTTACTCCATCAGTAATAAAAGATTACAACGTATTCAGCAGTTGTTATAAGCAGGAGTTACGCCTACAGATAAAAGAGGAAAACAAGTCAGTGCTAATGTTATCCCAGCCGAAGAGAAGATTTGTATTCATGAGCACATAAATTCGTTTCCTGTAAAAACGTCCCATTATTCTTCAAGAGAATATCATTATCTTAGCTCAGAATTGACAGTAAGACCATATATTTGATGTTCTAAGAAAAATATCCAGACTCAAAGATTAAGTACGAATACAACAACAATTTTTAAGGACGATTTTGATCTGAAGTTTCGTAGGCAGGAGGTCGACACATGCTGCACTTGTGAAAATCTTTCAATCAAAATTAAGAGTAAGGATCTAAATGAGAATGCTAAAAGAGTTGCTATTGCTGAAATGCTCGTGCATAAAAGACGGAGTAAAAAGTTTTCCCTATTTGGATGAAAACAAAATGAAAATAAATCCAAACAAAACTCGGACACATTCCTTTCCCATCTACACAAAGGGAAAATAAGCGGAAAACTAAAAATCCAAAACACTGCGATAGAACCGAAAAATACAATCAAATATTTAGGTTTTCACCTGGATAGGAGATTAACGTTCTACGCCCACATCAAGGATCGTATTGCAAAAACTAAGGGAATAATTAAAATCCTGTATCCTATGCTAAGCAGGAATAGTAAAGTTTCCAGAAACAATAAAACCCTAATCTTTAAACAAATCCTTAGGCCCATTCTGACATATGGCTTTTGTGCCATGGCTCAAAATCACTTTAAGAAACTTCAAGTCATCCAAAACTGGTGTCTGAGACTAATCCTGGGATGCGAAAGGTAAACCAAAATAACGGACTTACACGAAAACACAAACATACTTCCTATAAAGCAATATATTCTAGAAACGTTAGAGAAATTTAAAAAAAATTGTTTTCCTAATCAATTAAGGAAAGACATTTTCAATATAAAAGCCGGAAACAATGCGCATAGGAAGCATGTATGGCTGCACGAAGGACTCTCAATTCTCAATATACAGACACTAAATAAGACAAAAACAAAGCAAAATTACAGGACAATCTTAGCATGTTAAGATTACAAAATACACTATTCGTATAGACTGAACGATGGTGAGTTGGGCGTAGAATCGTAGATTGTCATTGGTAGACTCTGATTCTGCGGGCGGCCAATCACCGCCCGGTTTAGTTTAGTGTATACAATCCACCGAAAACTGAACGAACATACGCGTTAAAACCCTGTTTTTTTGACTAGATTTTTCAGGGAAAATCGACAAAATTAAAATCAACACAGAACATTTACACAATACACTCTCTTTGCCTAAAAATCAAAATAGTCGAATATTACCACCTGGTAAGGAATCGACTGGTTATACTCAAACTCTAAACATCTGAAGTCACATAAAAGGCAGAACATCAGCCCTAAGCCCTCTTGGAAACCCAAGAGATGCAGTAAAGAAGACCTCTTTACTATATTTAGTTTTGTAATGTAGATGTAAATATGTATATATAATTGTTGAATAAATATTGTAAGTAAGGATAATTCCAATTTAGAATCCATTAAAAAATCTGTTTGATCATTTCTGAAGTTATGAATCACTCTGTATATTTAAAAATAATTTTGAATGTCCAGATTAACATTATCTACAACTTTTGTAAAGAACAATTTTTGATATTTTCTATAATAACAATATATCGAACTACCTACCACACATAAAAATAATTTCGATCTATTCATCTATCGTTTAGTAACTTTTTAGAACAAAATGTTACAAAACAAAAACGCCATACAATATTGTAAAAGCAGATTGTTATTTCAGTCTTGAAATTAATTTTGTACGTTAAGTTTTGTACAGTCTGAAACCGCCGCACCCAATTCAAACAATAGCACCATCCTTATTTTTCTGCAACGGTTGCAACTCTCTCTGTAACCTATCAAAATCGTTGTAATACTCGTGATCGGATTCCTCCTCAGAACTCTTTTGAGGTAAATAACCCGACATCGGCTTAAATCCCGAAGCTTCTCCAGAAGCACCACAAGAAAAGTTTACGAATTCAGAAACAGTCGGTAGACCTACTGTTTGACTGGGTGCGTCGTTGTTCATAAGGTACTCGGGGTTATCAATATTATTTTTATAAAAGTCTTGATAGTTAGTATAGTTATTCGAGATTTCATTTTCGGGATTCTTCGAGTCGATCAAATCAACGTACGTTGTATTACCCTGGGCCTGCTGCGGCGAAGGCATTAGGTAGTCATCTTCATCAACCGGCAAATCCAGTTTTAAAGTACCCACTTTAGCCTGGGACCTAGCTACGGAATCATATTCGTCAGAACCAATATCGTCTCTCAATTTAACTGAATTCCCGCAATACTTTATACTGGAAGCGTCCGATTGAGTGGGTATGCTGGAATCGAACCCATGAGATTGAGCGTATCTTAGTAGTTTCTGATTCAGATGGTTCTGGTATTGGGAAGTGCTGCCATCTGACGTCATCGGTTGAGCTGATGGCCAGTAGCTGTGGGATGTTGGAGAAGGTGACACAGAAGGCATTATGAGACTACCAACATGAAGAGGAGCTCTTGATTTGGGTTGGAGATGGCTATCTCCTTCTGAAGTGCACTGGGAAGACTCCATTACTGAGGCAAGACTTCTGACATCGGTCTAGAAACAGAGAAGAATTAAGATTATTTACAGAAACAAATGTTAGAAATATGAATTTTAGGTAAATGGTAATTTTTTAATGTATATTATCCAACTTTAATTTCTTTTTTTGATGGCGATAGAACGATATATCGTATCGACAAACATAACCCCATCTATTTATACACGACCGAAGTAAAAACCGGGGAAGTTCCGTTTTATAATTCCATTGCGAGAAAATGTTTGCGATTGCGCCTTCTATTTATACACGACCGAAGCAAAAACCGGGGAAGTCCCGTGTTATAATTTCGTTGCGAGGAAACGTTTGTGAATGGTAGTGAGCAGTGTTGCCAGTCTAGTACAATTGTACTAGATCTAGTACATTTTCTAAAAATCTGGTACACTCGAAGCAAAATCTAGTACCTTTTTCTTTTTCAGCGAGTTACCATTTGAATTGCCTAAAATATATTGTTGGGACCTTGCTCGTCGTTTTGTTTTCGTTCGCTAAAAAAACCTTTTTTATTCCTTAATGAACCAAACCACATTACACTTCATTCGAAAATCTGGTACATTTTACAGAATCGAGTACATTTTTATTCAATCTGGTATTTAGACAAATTTGGAACATAACAAAAATATATTCTGGCAACACTGGTAGTGAGTGACATTTCAGATTTCGGGGAAGCCCCTTATATTCTGTAGTGCGTTAGAACACGCCGTTTTAAACTTGACTGTGTATTAGAGGAAATAAAATAAATAATAAATAAAAATATTCCATTTAAATGGAGAGTTCAAATAGAATAGAAGCGGAAACGGGCGCTGGTAGAAAGAGAACAGTTGCAGAATATTTTGGACAGGGTAGTAGTAAAGAAGCAGAAAATAAAAAAATTAAAAGTAATGACAAAGGTAAAAGGAGCATCTTTTGGAGACATTTTGAGAAGATGCAGACAGATAAATCTGAAAACGAAAGAGCGACGTGTAATACCTGTAAAAGGACAATCTCTTTGCCGATATATCGGCAATTATCTTGCCGATACGATACAATACCGATAATCGGCAACAACTGCCGATATGCGGATATACCGATATCAATATCGGTATCGTTATATCCCTATTTTTTGATTCATGCATCAAAATAATGATTCACATGAACTAGACTTTGTAGATAATATAGCTAAAGATGTACAACTCCACAGTATAAAATGCGTTCAGTCCCCTATCTAATTTATAAATAATAAAATATAAATTTGAATTACCTGAGGATGAGGAAAATTGGTCAGTCTCATAAATTTATCTCCTACAATAGCCAAATATCTCCCGGGATCTTGAGCCATCTTCGAGAAATCATCTTCTAACTCTTTAAAGCAAGGTCTACTTTCAGCATCCAGCATCCAACACTTGATCAAGATCATGTAAACCTCTATACTGGCTATTTCCGGCTGCGACAAGCGTTCTCCTTTTTCTAGTAATTCAGGTACATCTCTAGCAGGAACATTATCATACGGGCGTTCCCCGAAAGTTAACAGCTCCCAAACGGTTACACCAAATGCCCAAACGTCAGACTTATGGGTGAATATTCTATGTTGAATGCATTCTAGTGCTAACCATTTGATGGGCATTTTTCCTCCAGCGGCTTTGTACTCCTCTTCGTTGATGTCCAGGAGTTTAGCCAAACCGAAATCCGTGATTTTAACACACCCTGGTGTTTGTAACAGAACGTTTCTGGCTGCTAAATCCCTGTGGACTAAGCGTTTTTCTTCTAAGTATGCCATTCCCCTTGCGATTTGTGTGGACCAATTTAAAAGAGCTTTTGAACCAATTCTATCCCGATTGTTTCTGACAAAATCCAATAAACAACCCAGATACATCAGCTGCGTTACAAGCATCATTTGAGAAGTCATGCAAACTCCTAAGAGTTGTAGAAGATTAGGATGATCTACAGTAGCCATGATGTAAGCTTCGTCCAGGAAATCTTTACTAGTGTTTGCTCCTGTATCCTCTCTTAAAACTTTAATGGCGACAGGAATTTTTGCAGAGTGGTTGTTTCCTTCTCCTTCTAGATTCCAAACGCCTTGATATACTTTTCCAAATGCACCGTATCCGAGAATATTTGATTTGCGTAATTCTGTTTCTTTAATTATTCTTAACTTAGCGACATTCGGCATTACATTGGTAGGTCTCAAAGGTTCGTTGTCTTCTAAACCTGTTAGAGCCAGTGTCATTTTCATGGCATTTTCTTTGATCTTTTCTTTTCGTTGATAGTAACAGAACACTCCTACCAGTATCATTAAAACACATAATCCACCAACAACACCAGCTATTATTATTACGATTTCATAAGGATTTTTGGGAGATGCCACCAACTGACTGCTTGCAATATCCGAACAATAAGTACCTCCATCTGAAGTAAATCCTCTATATGGGTACTGTGGAGGACATTGGGCGACGCAAATAAAATTAGTACTGTTGAAATCTACATGGTCATCGTAAAAAAGTTTGAAATTTTGGCAGGTACTGCAATTTTCATTGCCGGATCCTGTACAACCTTTGCATTCTTTATCGCAAGCTATACATTCGTTAGTGGTTACATCAGGATAGTAGTCCGAGTTACATTCGTCTTCGCATTGTTCTCCTTTCTTATAGTGGGTACATTCTTGACAAACATTTTGATGGAATCCATACTGTGTACATTTCTTACATCTAAAAAAATATTAACATATTATTGTATACTCATTAAAATTTGCTGAAATGTGAGTTAAAATAATTGAATGACAGATTGCAAATGTATTTAATATGAACAGACACAAGTATTCTGCCTGCGATATTGGGGAAATATAATAAATCTCAGCTATATTATGTCTGTTCTAAGAGATTAAAATAATATGGATATTAATGATGTTATCAATCTAGGAAAGAGTTTTATTGACGAGCTAAAAGACAATGCGTGAAGAAGACATCACCGTAACTTTAAAGATTCAAAAACAGTCATAAAACTGTGTGCATTACAATACAAATACGTACAAAATGTTTTTAGACATACCTCGGATGACATTTCCTGCACACCGCTGTTGTATTAGGATTGGATCCTTCGGAAACATGAGGCTTGATGTATTCATAATAATATCCGTCAGGACATTGGGTATCCTTTCTACTCAGACAAACATAATTGTTATCTTTATTGTCCATGATAATAGCCAGTTCGCATGCATCGCATCCTCCTTTTCCTAACACATTGGTCGATCCTGAGCAACTTTCAACACAATTTGGATGACATGGTTGACACGAACCATTTTGTTCGTATTTATTCTTCATACATTTAGAGACACAGTAGTTTCCATCTTTAAGGTACCTGCAGGAAGTACAGTTGTTGGCTCCAGGTCCATGGCAAGAAGATCCACATTGTACGTGACAAGGTTTGCATTCATTTGTACTCGCCTGATACAATCTAGAAAAAAAATATATAAGTTAGAGGTATGAATTACACAAATAACAATACTGTTCAGTTCATTTATATATAAATGAAGATAACTTCTTTTTTAACTTTGAAAACCAAATATAAGAACATTATTACAAAAATGCAGAATATCTGAAAAACTAACTACTGCGTAGTTTCTTAAAAACAAATGAGAGTTGGCTTTTTGACAAGGCATTGCTTTGGCAGCAGAGTAAAATAACTTTTGCTTAGGGTTGAAAGTGGACAAAACAAGAAAATATGAATGGAAAAGTAGGAGATAAAATAAACAAATAGTTGAAGTAACAAAACCTATAAATATATCTATATAATTTAGTAACCAAGGATGAGTATCTATCTGGAACTAGCTAGCAATGAGAAGAGAGAACATGAAGTTATAAAAATCTATATTGGTTTAAACAAATCTCCCTTGGAAAAAGAATTAGATTTGAAAACGAAAACCAAAAAAAAGAAGAAGGACAAGAGAAGAGATAAAGTGGACCGCGTTATGTCTAACATGACAAAGTGCAATTTCGTAAATTTTGAGACAATATCGCCATCTAGTGGTAGTAAGTATAATCTAACTATAAAAAAATAATGGTCTTATACAAAGCATTATTTTAAAAGAAATAATTAAAAAATGTCTTTAACCACGAGACGCCACTGTTTACAATACATATATTTTTTTATTTTATCATTATGAAACTGGGTCACTAATTTATTTTCAGTACTTTTGATGTCCACATTAAATTTGAACTCAATCTGATGAATAGTTTCCTTTTTAGAAAGCCTCTCAATTTTCTCAATTCTTTAAAATGGCGTTTGGTCATGTTATGTATAACGCAGTTCAAGTTACAAATTCTACTTTGTTTAAATAAATCTCTAGGGGGTGGGTGGCTCAGTGGTAGAGTCTCTGCCTGTGGATCCAAGGGTCCCAGGTTCGAATCCCACCGTTGGCCGGGATTTTTTTATTTAATTTAATTATTTAAAATTAATTCTGATGCCTTGGTAGGATTCCCCACTCGACCATTCACTGTTGGGTTCTAATTAAAAGTGCTGTTCCTAAAGTGGCGCAAGGAAACAGTAACAAGGCCTGTCTGTAGGGGTGTAGGAGTATTAGAGTACTAATACTCCTGCACTATGGAGTATTAGACTACTAATACAATTTATAACCTACATAGAACACTAGGCTAATGACCTTAGATGTTGAAGCCGTACACCAAATAAAAAAAAATCTCTATAAAAAAAAGAAGAATACAATGTAATTGCTTTATTACAAGGTTTTAAGCATTTTGTCATAAAAATAGATAACAAAAAAAAATTGTGATAAGAGCAAAAAGTGAAAACATCAGAAAATTGGTGAAACAATGACCAAGATAGAACAAACGACTAAGTACAGTGGAAGACGCACATATGTATCAAGAATGGAACACCAAAATAATCCAGGTTATAGAAAATTGAAAAGGGATTAAAATCAGTATAAAGAACGTGTTGAATAGGTTAAAAAGACGGAACGAAATCCGAAGCATTATAACACAATCGGAATAAGTAAAAAGAATAAACGAAAGTTTACATACCCCGATTTGATATTGCAGTTTTCCAAACATTTGTTTCCAAATCTCAAATTTTTGCAAGAAAGACACTGTTCAGGTCCTGGACCCCAGCATCCATCGTCACTACATTGCGGATCACAAACAAGTCCTCTTCTTTTGCAGCTTTCCAAGTTACTGTTGTTGAACAGCAAAGGATGGCTTTCGTTGCTCTTCAGTATAGATCTCCAATTAATTCCCGCGAAACATAACCGCGGGTTTTCTAGAATTGCAACCGTTCCCATTTTTATTCTCTTTAATGAACTAAGTTCCAACGATTCTAATGAAGTTTTAACTATATACAAAGACGCGGAATATTCATACAGCATCCTTCCACCAATTTCTTCCAAATTCCGAAAATACGAAAGATTTTTGAAATCGGCATGATCGGCTTGAATATTGAGATACCCTGTAATTTCTTTTAACGTACTGAACACTTCTAAGGCACTGGGATGCATCGGTGGATATCGGTCACCGAAAGTAAAATTGTCGTATACGTGTTGATAACCGTTCAACGAATTTTGTAGAATGTTTATATTACCCTCTAAAACCGTACAGTTCCTAAAACTATCGATGTTGCCAAAATGAATCGTTCCGTCACTGTTTGTACACTGTTTTGGACAAGGTCCTTCACAAGGGACACACTCGCCGTCCTTCGCATGTTTATTTGAAGGGCACGTCCTTACACAGGCACCGTTATCCCTCAGTAAATGCTCGGGGCACTTCTTAACACATGTTGCACCATACGCGTATTTACCGGCAGGATTTGGTTCCCACGAATAGGTGCTTGGATTGTAGATCTGCATCGGTGGACATTCTTGAGTACACACTCCATCATCGTAAAAGTTAACACAAGCAATACAGTCACTTTGAGTAGGACCAGTACAGCCTCCTGCGCAAAATAAGTGACAACATTCACGAGGTTTTGTACCAAAACATCTACCACCAGAACATTGAGGGCTGCAGAATACTTTGGAGAATATTTGACAGTTTTCACGGCCTTCTCCCCAACATCCGTATTCACATTCTCTATCACAAGGTGGACATTGTCTTTCAGGCGACGTGAAGGTATAATTGTAAGAAAAGTTTCCAGCAGTTATTATTTCCGTCCAATTAATCGTTTTGATGTGGCAAAGGTTGTAGTTATTGAAAGATCCAACGTTCCCTCTTAGAACGTCACGTAAGGCTGGTAATTCTAGTGTCAACATTTTGGATAAGGTTACAATTAAAGCGAATTCTTGTTTAGATACGTTCATGTTCATTTTAAACAAATTCCTTCCTCTGATGATCTGGAGACGTGGTAGTATCACTTTTTTGACGTCTACATGGGATATCAAGACGTAGCCAGTAACTTCTCTAATGTGCTGGAGGAAACTTAGATCTTGGTCGACACCTTGTAACCATGTTAGCTCGAGATTTCCATCGACATAAGTGCAGTTGGTATAGCGATCCTTTAAATTCCTGTAGTGACGATCCCGATTTGAAGGAACGGACATACGGCCATTTGTACCAATGCAAACTGTAACAAAAAGAAAAGATATTAGTAACGGTAAGATTAGAATAATATCATAAAAAGTAGGAGGAGATCAAACTTTCAAAACTAAACTGAAAAAACAAAAATGTCATTATAAATAAGCAAGAAAGAATCTAATAAATTGTAAATGTTGACAATATTATTATTAGTATATTTTCTAGACACTCCGCAATACGTTAACATAAAAAAACTTAGAACCATTTACAACCATAACATTTCATAGTAAAAATATGCCTATAATAATTTACGGGAACATAAATTACAAAAACTCGATACATAAACAGAATTTATTGCCATATACGATTGAATTCCACAACCACAAACTGGGACCATTCTGAATTAATTCTCAAAACAAACGAAGGAATTGTTATGGCTAAGAGCTGTAAGAAATGTCGCTGATATTTGACGATCGTCACGGTTACTACGTGTATTTGAAGTAACAACTTGTTCGCCCACGTGTTCTTACGCTTTACTCTCTCAAACGCAACGGATAATAATTGTAACTAAATCAATTAACGTTATTCTATACTCTCTATTGAATTTCTTGGGAACACACCTACTCCAGTTTTATCAGTAAAAGTGTGTAAAAGTAGTAAAGCAGTACAAGAAGATTTTATTGCTAAGTAGAATTCAATTTTAATACTATTTATACGAGGGTATATCAAATATAAACGAGACTGTTTTGATTAAAAATTTCTGAGCGGTTATTGATCTGGAAAGAATTGATGAGTAGTTAGCCTTTACCTCTGGGGAGGGGAGCAAACTAATCAAAATTCGCTCAATTCTCTATGGTATGCAAAGAAACCATGAGCGAGAAAAAAGTGCATGTCTTCGTTGAGCAACGGGTTATAATAAAGTTTTTTGCAAAGGAGGGCATAAAACCAACCGAAAGTTTGCGACGATTGCAGGCACAGTTTGGGGATAATACTCTGTCAAGAACCCGTGTGTTTGCATGGTACCAAGAATTTTATGGAGGGCCTGAAAAGGTACACCCATAAAAGCAAAGGCGATCAACGCACGATTAATGCACAATATAGCTGAGTTACTGAAAAATGCAAAATTGTCATTTCGAAGAAAAAGGAAAAAGCAATCGGTCAGAAATGTCATTCTTTTGCATGCCAATGTCAGACGTCATGTGGCTAAGTCACGAGGGAAAAATTGGAAACATTTGAATGGGAAATACTGGAACATCGTCCCTATAGTCTAGACCTTCCATTTTTTTGGAACCCTTAAAAAATCGCTTTGTGGCCAGCGTTTCGACGATAACGAAGCGGTGAAAGCATTTGTGTTCCAATGGCTACAGGAACGTCCGAAGAGTTTCTACGATGCTGGGATAAAAAAGCTACCAATCCGATGGGAAAAATATATTTCAAGGGGGGACTGTATGTAGAAAAATAATGTATGTTTGAAAACTTATTTAAATAAAGCTAAAAAAATTTACAAAAGAAATCTGGTTTTATTTGATACACCCTCGTAGTAATAATTACCACTTTTTATCGTACTTTTTTATTGTACAGATTTGTTGTTCGATATGTGGAATAAAATAAATAATAACATAAAATCCCCGAAATTACAACAAAGTTTTTAACCTATTTATCAATTAGATTTTTTTAAATATTTGGTTTTGATTTTTTTTTAATTGTAAGAGGAATTGTTATTTTTCTAAGCATATGGATCCGTGTTCATAATAAAAATGGTGTTCAATAATAAGATTCTACATATTTGAATGAAGCAATTATGAATTAGCTGCCTACTAAACAATCACCACATATAACAAAAATTGCATTTGATGACGTATACTCACACCTGAGTGATTGCAATAATCTTTAAATGGTTGCGTTCGACAATTTATTAAACATTATATGCAAGTGGGTTTTTCACGTGGGCCGGCGTCCTCAATTGTACTGTGAAACTACAGAAACTGTATTTATTTTTTTTAATTTTGATATTAATTGTATCAACATAAATATATCATAAGCTGTGATTTACTAGTGCCTATTGTGTGTCAACATTTCTGAAATTGTAAGGCATCAAATAAAACGTAAATACTAGAACGTTACCAAGATAAATATGAATTGTTTGCTTAAATTTAAATTTGTTTATAGAAGTTTCTCGATGATATACAATACAAAATACTATTATATATAGTTTGTTTATTGACTTTATACTTTAATATAAGTAGGTACATGACACAAATGTTAAATTATGTATGTTATGTAACCAAAAAGCCGAAGGGTTGACATCTGATTAAAAGATTAAAGATTTATTAATCAATTGATAAAATTCCGAATAAAATTCTTCATGATATTATAACTATTAATCTTGAAATGGACATATTTTTTGTTATTTAAAGAGTAGCATTAAATGATTTTTTACAACCACATGGATATTAGCTTATCTACGCACCGATTACAAAACGAAAAAGTATGCTATTGCAATAAAAATGAAAATATATTTATTAGGTAACCCTAATATACAAACAATTTATTTTTGTTACAAAACAACAACTCAAATTCAAGATACAAAATTCAAAATACCAAAATCAGAAAAATAAATTACAATTTATGACTGAACAAAACAAAAACAATTGAAGTGCAAAATATAAAAAAAAATATATATATATATAAAAGTTCTAAATACAAAAGTCTAAAATACAAAATATACATATTAATACAATCAAATAAATTTTTTTTAAAGAGATTTGCACATTTAATCTCCTTTACACTAATTTCATCAATCATGAACATGTTTTATCTTTTCTTTTTAAAAACTGTTACTGACGAAGTAGCTTTAATACCAAACGACAATTTATTGTTATGGTCAAAGCATTTAAAAAATAAGGAATTCATTGATGTTCGTTTATTTGTTCTATGTGCAAGTTACTGTTATTTCTGGTAGAGTAGTTATGCATACGATTGTTAAAATTAATATATTCTCGAAAATAAGGTGGAGCTTAACCATTTAATATTTTATATACAAGCACCATAGTCAAATAGTATGATGTTCACAGTGATATTCTATGCATGGTAGATATAGGAGTATATTTGCTACACCTCAATATAATCCTCATACCACGATTTTGCAGTTTTTGTAACTGTGTCATTTGGTTTAAGTTGAAAAGGAAGATGACCGATGAAAAATAATCAAAATGTGGTCGAATAATTGAGCGATAAACTGTAATTTTAGTTTCAGTTGATAGGTTTTTTGATATTCTTGCAAAGAAGTAAAGTTTCTTCGATATTTCTTTTTAAAATATAATTAAAATGTTCACTAAACAATAAAAAATTATCAAAGTTTAAAGCCAAGGTATTTAGTAGATGTTACAATATCAATTTTCTCATCGTTAATTGTAAGATTAATTGCATTTAAGTCTATATTGGTATATTTATATTTAGTAATTATTATAGCTTTAGTTTTTAATACGTTAAGTTTAAGTTTATTATACATTAAATAATTATTGGCAGAGTTTAGTGCCCGATTCATTTTTTGTACCGCATATTATTATCATAACAAGCCATTAATTAAAGAATCATCTGCAAATATATTTATAAAATCACAATCAAGAAAGAGGTTTAAATCATTTATATACAAGATAAATAAAAGTGGCCCCAGAACGCTACCTTGGGATACACCAATGTTAATATCATTTTCAGCAGATATATTATTATTAACTTTTACTCTTTGAGATAATATTGCGATCTATTGTTTCAAATGCTATCTTTAAGTCTAGAAAAACTGCTACTACATAGTTATTATTGTCTACCTCCGTTTTAAATTTACATAAGGAGAGTTGCAGAGCTGCTTCACAAGAGAGTTTTTTGCGGAATCCAGATTGGTTAATGCCTTCAACTGAACGAATATATTTCATATCCATTCTAGGTAGTGAGAACACTGCAAAAAATAAATAATAGCATTTCTGTTTTTATTTTGTCTATAATTATAAATAATTTATTAATTTAAATAAAACTATATGAAGTCAATTTAATAACGAGTATTAAAGCATCAAAAATAAAAGAATAGGTGGTCCTGTAGTTAGCGTTCTTGCCTTCCACACGAAAGATTGTAGAACTCCAATGGGGAAAAATTAAATGAACTGTTTTCTTTTGCGTTTATTTCATTTTAAAAATTATTAAAAGTCATAAATCATTTTAAAATTAGTTATTTTGTCTTAATAACCTAAAATATTTTTTTTGTTTGTAATTTTCGTTAGTGGGTCGTAGAAAAAATATACTGTACAACTCGAGTGGATTGTCCACATCGCACTCCGCCTATGGCGTCTTGCTCAAATTTCGTCTTCGTGCGATTTGGTCGTCATATCCACTCTTGTTGCATAAACTACTATTTTCTAATTTTGGCTTTTTTGTATAGCAGCAAGTGCCAAAATGATCTACTTTATACAATCAGTTGTATAAAGTTGAACATTATGAAACTGATTACGAAAAATTCATTATGTCATTAGTTGCGAAAGGAAAACAAATAAAAATGATTATTTTGTTGTTTTAAAATCAATATATAATATTAATGAAAGTTTATATCAAAGAAAGTATAAAAATAGAATTTGGTTAGTGAACTTACAACCTAGTAATAATATTGTTTTGGTCCTTATTTTTCATTCTAAATAAGCACAAAATAATCAAAACATAATACACAACAAAATAACCTACTTTCTTGAAAACTAAATAACTTTAACAAGCCATATACAACACACTACAAGTCGTTTAGAATTAATTAATATGATTTTCTATTTGTTAATAAAATGAATTAAGTTACGCATATTAAACTAACAATACAAGAAAGTAATATTGGTTGCATAGATATTAGTAATTAATTACCAAAACACAATTTAATAAATAATCTAGTGAAAATTAGAAAAAATATTGTATATAACACGTTACGAAATGCCGTTTTATGTAACTCGTCCATCGTTGCGGAATCTCGCTTTGCTCATGTCGCAAATACTCACATAAAACAAGGAATTTCGAAAC